CTCTGATCACTGATGGTATTTGACTCATGAGATCGGGTTTCCTCTTGTATGGCATTAACTCAGTTGTGGTCGAGTCGACCGGTTCTGTGATTTTCACTCGTTTTCGTCGATGTCGTGGAGTTTCGCCGTCTTCTCCATAAGTCAGCGCTTCCTTTCAGTACAACAAAACAAAATTTAATTTTTGCAAAAACTTTATTTATCACTAAAATTAATCAACAAATCACTCACTCTTTTCATACCAATCGACAAACATTTATCAATTCTGCATTTTTTGCAGAATTTTCGCGTCAAACGGTTTACATCGCAATTGTCACCGAAAAAACAGCCAAATTCCTGATCAAACATATTGTTAATCAATTAGACATAATTTAATAGACAATTATAAAGATATTATATACCTCAACACGCGTTGCATTTCTACGAAAAAATGACCTACACGACTCACACGTTAGGGCACCAAAATTATAACCTATTATATATGCAGGTATGTTAATTATAGCACATTTACAATGTGTGGTCAGATTATAAAGTAATCAAATGTCAAAGTAGTTATTAGACATACCGACTGCCCGATCGCCGCAAACGCTGCAAACTTTATCGTTCATTATTATAAATATTGTAATTATTTATGTCACACACAATACGACGGCCTTCACCACAATTATCGCAAATAGCAAATAATAATTACTTTAATAACATTTATTTTTCACTAAAGAAAACTACTAATTAATATTGAAAACTAACTTATATTATAAGTACAAATAATACTTCACATAATTACACGAATTAATTAATCAATATTTTTTGTTTCAATATATTTCACACAACAAAGTATTTTCACTTAAAACAGTTTTCTTTTTAATAGGTTAGAGACAATAGTTTTGAACAATAATTAATAATAAATGTTTTTCCTTTAGTAGAAACAAGTGTTCAGTAAAATAGTGATAAAACACAACAAAGTATTTTCACTTAAAACAGTTTTCTTTTTAATAGGTTAGAGACAATAGTTTTGAACAATAATTAATAATAAATGTTTTTCCTTTAGTAGAAACAAGTGTTCAGTAAAATAGTGATAAATTCTCAAATATATATATTTGCTAATAATGTCTCTTTCTTTGGATCAATGATTGGAGAGAGAGAGAGAGAGAGAGAGAGAGAGAGAGAGAAACATTAACCACTGATGATAAAACAAACAAACAATACATATAACAAATAATTATGCAATACTTATAATTACAGTATTTCTTAGAACCATATTAAAAATGCTCAACATTTTGCGATATACAGCACATGTAACCCAGGTTTTGTAAAATATGCACTTAAAATTATCATGTTCCTTTCCACGTTTGATATACTGCATAAGGCATGTAATTTAGTAAATATACAGAGTTCCATACCTCTCATGTCTTATATCATAGTATTTATGAATAAATATATATGTGGACCAAACTACAGTGTTGAGTAAACATTATTATTAATATTACCACAAAACTAGCAAACTATTGATTTTTTCTTAATCTATACTTATGAATACTTATAAACGCTTCTTAGAAAATGACCATGAGCATTCAATCATTTAATTTACATTGTGCAATTCATTAATGACAGCCCATTGAAAGATAACGAATTATATTTTTCTATCATTATATCTAAAAATAAATGTATATTGAATGTAAATTTTAACATGATGTTTTAATAATAAAACCTTTACAATTGATTAGGAATATTAGATATAATGTACTCAAGGAGACAAATATTTAATGAAACACTTAATTCCCTCTATTATTAATATTGTTAACAAATCATAACAAATTTAGTGCAAAATGTACTGAAGTATACTTCAAAGCATATGCACGTTAATTCATTAGAATTTTCATCTAATTTATATCATGTGTTCGCAATATCGTGATGAAGTTATGCCTTCAAATATTAAATATTCATTGTTATACAGTCGGATATAATATTGATAGTATTATTTATCAACTCGCATAATTTTCTACACATTTCAACATGTTAAAAAAATTATACTTAAAACTATTAATTTATTTAATACAATAAAAAATAAATATGATATGATTAGATTTATTTGGACTTTTTCGGTTATTAATTATGTTTACATTGATTTGTAACACATTGAGAAAGTGCTCTCCTGGGCCTCAAAACTGTTGTGAAAACCAGAGTTATATTGATAAGTGCTCTTCTCACAAGTGTTGTATATTATCTTGCAAACAATTCATTAATCGCACAAAACGTGTCTCCGATTCTGACTTTGAGTTGTGTTTAATCTCTAAATACCGTTGAAGTAAATAAATATACGTCTGCTGTTGTAATCTATGTTAAATTTTGCATAATTACTAATTGTATTGATTACGGATTAATGATAACACATTTACTTAACAAAATTTTTATACATAACATGGGGTTGATTGGGATTGAAGAGCAATATTGCTGCCAACTAATTAATAAAAATTATTTTAAATTAAATAATATAATTATAAAAGTATAATAAATAATTACAATATCCAAGAGATTAATATCGGTGTCGTATTCATGTTTAAGGTTTTTCATATATTGTCGGTTAGCGTCATAGAGACCACATTTGCCACTTTTTAATACATCTAACGGCACTTTAATGGCATTGTCTTTGTCCTAAACACAGATATTGATAAATATAATTAGATGATACAAAAAACAGCCAAAATATAACATTGCATACAATGGGAACCGTCCAGAATTGGCCCTCAAAATCAAAGCCCAAGACATTTGTGAGACAAGCAATGTGTGGGGCGCCGGCCCTCACGAGTGCGATCCTGTCCTCAGCGCACAGATCGTTGAATTCAGTGATATTTGCGGCCATTTTGACGATTCGCCGATATTTCAGTTCATTCCTGTCTTCCAAGTGACGGAAAATGTCCGCAAATGTCGTCTCATTGGCCGCACACTTGACGACCGGGTCTTTAATGATCGCCATAGAGATAAACAATTGTTTAAATCGACTAAATTCTAACTCATTTAACTTAAATATCAGTCCTCTTATCGCTGATGGTATTTGACTCATGGGATCAGGTTTTCTCTTATATGGCATTAACTCTATTGTCGTCGATTCAAACGGTTCTGTGGTTTTCACTCGTTTTTGTCGATGTCTTGTAGTTTCGCCGTCTTCTCCATAAGTCAACCCTTCCTTTCAAAACAAAGTGTAATTAAAATCACAAAATATATTCATAAATATCATATAGGGTTGTCATAAATGTCTTAATTCACTCACTTTTCTCATACCAATTGCAAAACATTTATCAATTCTGCACTTTTTGCATAACTTTCGCGTAAAACCATTCACTTCACAATTATCACCAAAAAAGCAGCCAAATTCCTGATTAAACATATGGCTTATAAATGAACCATCATTTAATTGATAGTTAATATATTGTATACCTCAGTACGATTGGCATTGCGGCGAAAAAAGGACCTACACGACTCACACGTTAGGGCACCGAAATTATTGCCTATTTTGTGTGTCCGAGTGTTTAATAATTAAAAAACATTATTAATTTAATTAATATACTACATCTGTAACTGTATACATACCAACAGCACGATCGCCACAAACATTACAAATCTTATCTCTCATTGCTATAAATTTATAAATTATTGTATTAATTATTTATTTCAGTCAAAATACAATGGCTTTGAGAAAATTACTAATACAGACATTTTATCAGATAAATGATATGATATTAATATTTATATAAGACATTTAGTTTTAAATATTATATCTAACATTATTAATTGGCAATCTATTCAAGTATACATTGATTAAAATTTTTACCTTTTTGTGTTAAACATTACAGTTAATTAAGTGCTAGGTTGATAAAGACTTTCAGCAAAAAGGGAAATAGCATTTGACTTTATTAAAGCTTGACTACACGTAATATTACATTACTGTATTGTATGGTAATGTTATTTTTCCCTTTATGATTAGTCTTTTTGAATCTAGCGTTTAAGTTATGTGAAAATTACGGTAAAAATTTTAAATATAAAGCTTTTAAAATTGAGAATTAATATTAGATTTATTATATACAAGAAGTTCAATGGAAATTGAATAACAAATTCAATGAAACACATCATTAATTCCTTCATTTATTAACAAACTATATTGCAATCAAATGAGAAATCTATTAAATATGTTTATTGAGTTAAATTTACAAAGTATTATAAACTTAAGAATTTACATAATTATTTTTGGATTTACAGCATAAATGATTGTTTAATAAGAAAATTCAGCAAGTATCATTCATGTTCAGTATTATACATTTATTTTTCATTAAATAGAAATAATAAATACAAATGCAATGTAAACCTAAAAGTAATGAGGAATATGTTATTTAAAAATACATGAATGTACTGTATAATTAAACTATTATGTTTATAGTAACTATCTAGCTATAAAATTATAGTATTTAATGTAATTAATTAATCATGATCCATTCAATGATTTTGTTTCAAATATCTCCTGTACAAGAGGTGTCACTCGTATGGGATGTATGAGTGCTTTTCCAAAATGTTGGAGAACTAATTGAGTCAAAACATACAACACTCGCAGACAATTCATTAAACGTACGAATCTTGTCTCCGATTCTGACTTTGAGTTGTGTTTAGTCTCTAAATACCGCTGAAGTAAATACATGTATGTCTTCCGTTGTAATCTATGAGATCGTAAATAAATTATAAAAAATTTAACTGTTATACTAACTCGTAAATATACTCACATTATACTGTGTTTATGAACCAGATTTGGTAGATCTGGATTAAAAAGTGCAATTGACGAAAGCTAAAAATATATAACAACAATATATTAATATTGTTTATACCAATCTAAATATATTAAACATGTTTAATACCAAATCAATTAAATTCATATCAACATTGCATTCAGCTCTCAGACCAGACATGAAATTCCAGTGACTTTGTATGACTACATTACTCCATCCCTCCAAAACACTCATCCGTAATAGCGTTGCGTTCTCTTCGTCCTAATATTTTATGATCAAAACATAGCATTTATAAAATTAATTAAAAATAAATCTCATCTGAATTTAAAATACAATAATGGCATACAATGGGAATCCTCCAGAACTGGCCGTCGACATCGAAATCAACGATATTCTGCAAAAGCCAGAGTTGAGGGCAACCGGCCTTCAGGAGCACAATCTTGTCGTCTTCGCACAACTCTTTGAATCCATTAATATTTGTCGACATTTTAACCATTCGTGTAAACTTGAGATCAGCCCTGTTTTGAATCAATTGAATGCCATCCGAAGCGGTATTCGTTTCGTACGCTATTGTGGTCACAGGATTTCCTCTTACGACAGCCAATGAATTGAATAACTCTTTAAATCTGTTTATCTCTAACTCATTGAAGTTGAATATTAATCCCCTGATAACTGATCCTATTATGCTATCACTATTGGTATTCACATTTAATTCATTCAACCCAGATTCAGTGGTTGCATTTAAATAATCTCGGTGATAATCCTTATTATATTCATCAGATGATTGTCCATTACTTTTAGAAATAAATTTGTCTAATTAATAAAAATAATGGTTAATATTATGACTAAAATAACATTGTAATAAATGTCTCCATATTTTTTTGTACCGAGAGTTAAACAGCCCTCGACTTTGTGCTCATCGGTTACGGAGACAATTGGAGCGCCATTTTTGGGCCGTTTTCGTCGATAACGACGCGAATCATTGTTTTCGCCATAAGTTAGCGCTTCCTTTAAGACAACAAACTTTAAATACACTGTTATTACGATATTTTCAAGAAATCACTCACTTTTTTCATGCCATTAGCCAAACATCTATCAATTCTACACTTTTTACAGAATTTTCGTGTCAAACGGTTTACCTCACAATTGTCACCGAAAAAACAGCCAAATTCCTAATTAAACATATTATTAATATATAAAACTTCAATTCATAGCAATTATATAAACCTCAAAACGTGTTGCATTTCTACGAAAAAATGATCTACACGATTCACACGTTAGGGCACCAAAATTATGGCCTAGTTATATGTCCGGATATTTGATTATTAATAAATTAAATGTCTATTAACTTAATATACATACCAATGGCCCGATCGCCACAAACTGTGCAAACTTTATCATTCATTTTTATTTATTTATTTATATTGCCATTTCTAACACAATGTCCTTCACAATTATTATCAGGTAAACATTAAAATGATTTTAAATGTATTTTTATTAGCCTTATTATTTTAATTACTTTTTAATACAATTCGTTTTAATACACTTCACTTTAATATAACTGCATTTTAATAGTTAACAATATATTAATATTTAAATTAAAACTTGGTTGTACTCAACAACACATTTGAGGTATTATTTAAAAAAGTAATTAATAATAAGTGTTTTCCTTTAATAAAAACAACTGTTCACTAGAAATAGAGACCAATTCTCGAATAGCCGTATGTTTACTAATAATAACTTATATACAGTAAATAACTTACTTATTATTATTAATAAGTATTTTGGATCAATGATTGAGGAAATTCTTAAGGCATGTGAAAGTTATGCTCACATTTCGTAATACAACATAAGGTTTCCCATAATATGCCCTTAAAATCGCTATTAAGTGCAAAAACATTACATTTACTTTGTATGACATTTGATGTCTTGAAGGGTTTTAAATATACATATTTAAGTTATAACACATTTGATTGTAACGATAGATTTACTTGAATATTGAGAAATTATTGATTTTTCTTTGTATATTATAATTATAATGTCATAACATGTTGCAACATAACCTTGTGCATTCAATCATCCGTATGCTTTTACTAAAATTAACAATTATTGCAGAATATTATTGAATTACAAAAACATTTATTAAATAGCTTAAATTTATTAATCAAAATAGTTTAAATCTAGTTGTCCGACAAGTGTAAATTGAGTGTAAAAATAAGAATATGTCATTGTAAATATTATATTGTATTGTCTTTAATAAAGACTCTTTATAATAATTTCTAGTTATTGAGTATAGTTTTATATACAATATATGCTACATATAATTCCATTTCTTAAAAAGGACGTAAAGGAATAATATAAGGTAAAGTATTATGCCAAAATTATAATAATTTAATACAATTGTATTTAATATAATTACAATTTATAATTATATATGCAACCTAAAATATCAGAATCAACTTGTACATTAAAATTCTAATTCAAAAATTATATGACAAAGATTCAATGGAACACAACATTAATTCCTTTATTAATTAACAAATTATATTACAATTAACAAAAACTAGATTCTAAGGAGTATTAGCTGCAATCACATAGAAAACTACATGTATGTAAGTTATGTGTTTTGATTTTGAATCAATTCACACATCACTACTCCTGATATACCGAAGCCGTGATTGTGTTAACAGCTATTCATTACCAGAAAATATATTTCGACAAAAACTCTAAACCATTAAATATGGACTCAATTGCGACAACTCTTCCAAATGAAGTGGAAGAATGCCCTCAACGAAGGCCATAGATTCGCACTCATTAACCAATTAACTCCTTCTGTGGTCACTAACAAGGCATTCAGAAATAAATGTCCATAATGGCCATAACTTAAAAACGAATAAAGTTAATTTGATTCTGTCTTCGGATTATAATAATACCATCCCATGTCCACATCTCACATAAATTTTATCA